GTTCCAGGTGGATATAGGAACCTCACCTTACTGTAGGAAATCACAACAGCCTTGAGAAAGGTTTAAAAGCCTAATTATCAAATTAGTGAAAAACCTAGCTCCTTCTGGGGTTTCTGCTGACACCTTTTCCATGACACAGCTGGCTCTTACCTCCTGAATGTGAGCAAAAGGATAAGTGATGGTCCCAAGATCTTTGGGTGGTTCTCACATTTTACTTACTCTCTGCCTCTTTCCCCCTCAAGATGTATTTTCTCTTGGGAAATGTTCCTTCACTGCATATCTATCACATCTATCATTAATTATTCAGGCTATGGTTCAGTCATAACTTTCATGTTAACGTGCAATGTCACCCAAAAAATATTTGGTATGCCACAAAACCCGGTTGTTAGATGGCAAATGTCAAATGATTCAAAGCACACAAATAGGAAGTCTTACATGACACTCTCTTGGAACAATTCTGCCACATTTACTCCATCTGCTTAAGAGTACAAATTTTCACAGATTATCAGTTTCTAATACATTTCACAAGGGCAATGCATTCCAAATATGTTTCTCTCGATATCTAGCAGATGGAAGCTTGAAATATATAGAGCATTGTTATCTCACTCTAAATCGGATGAAGCTGATTTGCATCAATAATGTTACTTAGTTTTCTTTGGCATAAAAGTCTCTCTTATTTGTTAAAGAAATGGCTTATTTCTTTCTCATATTGCAAGAACATGCAATTCATTGCAAGAAGCAATAAAGCTTCTGCCAGAGCAATATTCTTAATTATAATTTTTAAAATTCTGCCTTGGTCCACACATTTCTTTGGGTTCCTCCAGCTACCAAATACAGCTCTCATAAATCAGTTTGTTTGTCCACATGCCTCTCTCAAACCCTGTGTGACGGAAGGGAAACAGACTGAAGTTAGGACAGAGACTTAATGAGATACAGGGGGTTTGTGAAAAGTGACAGGCATATTTGCTCACTTCACATGGCTTTCATTGGTGAGATATGTAAGCTTGCAAATAATTCAGACAATGATGATTTTCCATGCAGAAATATATATTTAAAGTTTCTCATCCATTTAAAAGGCAAGTGATTTTACGGATACCTTCAAAATCAGGATAGTATTTACAGATCCTAAGTCTAGACTTAGATTCCCATATTTAAATACCTGAACAAATGTGACTTAACACTCACTCTTCAGCTCCATTGATTTAAAAAGGTCTTCACAGGTACCCTGCATCTTGCAAAATCTGTCCACTTTTACTTAGGTGCCTAAGCATTGCTTTAGGAGACAACATTTAAGCATGAAATTTCAATCTAAATCTTCTCCTTTCATGCCTTTATAGCACTCTTTCCTGTGCTCAGCTTATGACCTTCAACCATTTACAAATAGGCACGTGGCTTAAGCTCACTTATGACAGAACTTAGCAGTTCTTCCAAGAGTTGAATCATTAAAGCCCCCTTTAGCAATGATGACGATAAAGGCCCACAGCAGAGTCTTCACATGGAGCGGAAAGAAGTGAGGTCAAGAAATGCATTTTCTGGGGAAGAACAAGCGTCCCACATGAGAATGCTCAGCTGACTTTCAGTGAGATACACAGCTATAGGAAACTTCTTCTATGAAGTAATGTTTAAAACACTTGAGTGATGAGCTGAAGTTAGCTGTCTAAGATTCCTTACAATGAATACACTCATACAGACAGATGTCTTCACTGAACACAGCTCCTAACTCTGACCACTTGCGTATATAACCTGCTTACTAACAGAGGGAAGCAATTTGCAGTGTTTAAGGTGAAAGAGATGGCAGTGATATTTATAAGCTCAGAAACAAACAAACAAACAGCTAGTGCTTTGTTCTATAAAACCTATGAGCGGTTTAAAGTCTATTGGGGAATTGAAATGGGAGAGCCTGCAGAATATTTAACCATGTTATCTACTTTTTTCCTCGATAGATACTACCTTCAACAGATGTCAAGCCACTGCTCAGAATACAAGATCTATTTTAACAGGAAAAAGCAGCGTTCATCAGTACATTTAATAGGTGGTTAACCCTCCTTTTGGGGAAATTATTGCATAAAATAGATACTGAACAAATTTCCTTTTCTTTCAACGTGTTTTTTTCATTCTTCTTTCTGTGGGTGCAAGACTGTTAAAAGAGTACAGTTCTTAATCCAACAGGTTAACACTCTGCTAAAGTTACCTAAGAAAAAACACATTTTGTGGAAGGCACTCAAAAGTGCTGTAATTGGTTAACAAAAAGGCAGCAGGCAGGAGACAGACAGACTCCAGGGAATGAGCTAGGGGATGGCAAGAGGAATTTATTCCAAATTACACTCTATTTAAGAAAATAAACAAAAAAGAGGGAGAAAATTTTAAAAATAGATAAAATAGATAAGCGTTTTATCTTTAATCCTCATTAAACCTGCCCTGGTCTGAATTTTCATCATTAGGATAATCTCCTTTAGGATAAAGGTGTTCAAAAAACTACGTTTCTTGAAGGGTTTTGAATCCATGTTGCTTCCATCTGAAATATTACCCAGCAAAATGATAAGTTTCATCTGGGGAAAAGCTCCGGAAGTGTATCTGAATTCTTGTTGCACAGACTTAATCATCCACTGGTTTCAAAGGCATCTCTAAAGGTGCATCCATGCACCAGACGCAAATTTTACCTCTCCTCTACATGCAGACCTGACCCTTATTCTCTAAACTTTCCTTAGAGAGTCTTCCTTTAGCTTATGATACGTAAGGAGTAAACTAAGCATCTATACGAAAACCATATAAAAGAAAAACTCTCTTGCTAATGTACTTCTCAACAAGGGGAAAGAATTTTTTTTTAATAAAAGCTTATTTTTTTGTAATTACTCAAGCAGTAAAGCAGGTGGAGTTAATTATTTAAAGTCCAAAGAAGTTTTAAAAAAATCAAATATCTCTAACCACTTCATTCACATAAATATAAAAAGATTTTAAAGGTATTGTATCTTAGAGCGTCCTTCCTGGTAAAAACATTAGAGACTTTCTCTTCCTTGATATTAAAATAAATTTTTAGCTCCTAATTACTTGGGATAAACTATTTTTAGAATTGTGCCATTTGTACATACTGAAAAACTGTCACTGGTGCTGGAATGAACCTTCCCCATCTGTGGGAGCTTGGCCAGCACCGTTTTGTTTTTGTTTTTGTTTTTTAATTCTTAAGGGCAGGAAGGGAAATTTCAGAGGCTTGGCAATATTGCAACAGTCTGGAGTGCTAGAATATCCAGGCAGGCAGTTAGGGATAGAGAAGTTAATGGCAAGCCCAGAAGCGCACATTAAACACACTAGTATGGCTGCAGTGACGTACACACACAACTTGGACTTCATGCATTTGCGTCCTCAGCAAACGCAAGGAGAACACTAGCATCCAACTTTGAAGCCTGTCGGCCATTTGCAGTAGAAAAGCCAGACCAAATAGGCCCAGGTCTATATGGTACTAAGGAATGTATCCCTTGCATACAAAAGCAACAAACTGTATTACAACACCTGAATATTCTTAAATCTGCTGAGGAAAGTTTGAAGTGGTCAATATGGTCTATAAAGACATGTCTTAACTGCACTTGCTTCCAAAATATTGAATAATGCCAAAAAGAGGGTTTAACTTGTAATACGTTCCCAGAAGTGATGGTTTTCATGGAAGCAGGATGAATAGTAGAATGATGTTTAGCAAGCAAATTTCTCTCACAAGTACCAAAACTACATGATGAGGGAAAAGAGCACGCTGCAAGCTCATTAACAACACCCATCAACATGCATAAAAATGTGTTACACATTAAAATATTGATGTAGAAAAGAAAATTCCAGGTAGACAATCCAAACATTGTGTCAAAAGGCATAAATAAACAAATAAAAACCACAACTGCAAATCTATCTGATCTATTCTGTGCAGAAGAAAAAAAGGTCTACAGAGATTCTCCAAATGTTCAATAGTTAAAGAGATATTTACTTCACTCTGGGATCTGATACGTTAATTAAATCCACACAACCTAGAAATAGCAATACATGTTGCTATAGCTTATATTTTAATTTTTAATAGAGATTATATTTTTTTTAAAAAAGCAATCCAAAAAAGGACTTAAGTCATGTCTTACACTTAGAAATTTCAAATCTATATAGCTAAGTTGAAATCAAACATCGAGTTCAAAAGTTATTAAAGGAGGGTGGGTAGGCAGGACTCTAATCTAAAAATCCAGAACCCTCTCTTTACAAACACAATGAAAAATAGCAAGGATGACAACATTGTTAACAGTACTTGCTCAGAAACAGCAATGAGTGGTGTTAATGCGTCTTCAACCTACTAAGACACAAACTCCGTTGACAGACTATGAAAGATTTTTCTAACATAAATCCTTCTGCAAGCCCAAGCCCCCTCTGTAGAAGGTTAAATCGCAACAGCAGTGCAGCGTTTGGTAGCGACCCTTTCAGGAGCAGCCCAAACCTTATGGGGTGATCTAGAACCTACTTCACACAGCAAGAGTAAACGACAATCCTAGCAGTTATTCAAAAAAGAAATGTATAAAAATACAGGTACTCTGCTTTAGGATTACGTTTGTAAAATATCTACACTGTTGCCTTGTTTTTTATTTGGTGCCGAAACCCCCTAAATGGCATACGCAGGCTCCCTTCTCTGGCCATACCAGCAGCTCCAGAGCAGCATGATGCATTGGGGAACCTCCCCCAGCTCCTTCACCCGCACCTACTGGCAGGCTCATGGCAAAGCAGCTGCAACATGGCCATAAGCAGAGGTCGTAACAACGACTATGGATTTCCAACTTTGCGTAGGTTTACATTCTAGAACAAATTTTGTGCTACAGTAATAGCATATAATAGAATAATAACAGAAAGAACAAATTGTTTCACTTTGAACTATTTTTGCTATCATTTCAATTGAAGTTCCAGCACATTCTCTTCTGCGTACCAATGCTGCTGTAAGAAACATTTCTAAGCTTTCAAAGGTTTCCACAATATGTCATCCTTACCTATGCAGTTTATCCTCCAGCATCTCCATGTATTTTACAGCGTTTTCTTTTACACTGGTCACTGCAAGACAAAATTCAAACTTAGGCAATGGTATAACTGTTTAAGCTTGTAATTTCTTTAAAATCAGCTCATGTCTCCTTACGTACAGTTTTACAGATATCACTTGAAGATGAGAATTCTATTACATTGTAGAATAGGCATACAATTCTATTCAAATTATACTGCAAATGTCAACTTTTTCTCTTGAAAGTCAATTGTGTATGTATTATATTAATATAATCTAGTAATCAATGTATCAGTAAATTAACCTCTCCGCTGTGCCAGAAAAACAGTGAGACTAACAAAGGCACAGCTTGCAGAAATTTCCTCTTGACGAAAAAAGCACAGCTAGGTCCTCCTCTTTACCTTCAGGAGAAGCTGCAGGTCTAATTTGTCAGTCCATGCACAGGAGTCCTTTAAAGCTTTAAGAAACTTGTGGTACCAAACTGATCAAACTACTTCTGATAGTACTGAAACATTGTGGAATTGGAAAAGCTACCACATAAAAATCTTAATACTTTTTCTTTTCTTTTTTAAACTGCATTTGTAAGGATAGATATATCTTCACAACTTCTTCACTCAGAAGAAAAGCTAATAAACCACCTACTCAACATAACACAAAATAACAAAGCTGTTCTTTCAGACGATCCTTGGTACTCCAACTTGAGTACAAACGGAGGGAAACAAATCCCTTCTGGGAAAACGGAGGCATTTAAAGGATAATCATTTCACATTATAAAAAATTATTTTGGTCAATTTCCCTTTCTAACAGCTGATTTCCTACTCCAAGTCCAGTAGGACTCTTTATCAGTCAGTCCTTTTTACATTCGTAATAACTCACTGCACATCAATCTTATATACGGTTTACATGATGATACATTCTCAAGAGAATTGCTGTTCTTATGGGCAAAGTTTGGTGTATGGATCCAACACCCTGTAAATCTACCCAATGATGTCCTCCTACTATATTCTCTACAATGATTTATCCTCTTTTTGTGGAAGATAAGTCATTAAAGGGGCAAACATTTTAACCACCCCAAATGATATGCCCACTTGGGAGGAATGGCACTAGTATGCTGAGAGGTTTTAGTGACTGGCATTCACAGTTTTTTGATCCTGAGACAGTAATATACTTATGTAAAGCCCCCAGGTACAACTAACACTTATCAAACGTTCCATGTGTAGCTTACTTTCTGCTTTTATTTTTCCCTCCTTTTCTTCCTCCCCCCTCCTCCAAATATAAAAATTCGCACGCTAAAGTCTAACTTGAAATCCTGGCACAGACTGGATCAGTTGTTCTAAAGTTGCATACACACTCACTCATACACTTCCCGCATATATATATTTTTATATGCATACACCACACACACACATATATATATATGTACACACACACATATATACATATACACACACACACGCAGAAGTTTGTTAACTGAAACTGCTTAGGTAATACCATTACCAGTAACCATCAAGGTCAACTTAACATCAACTCTGCAGAAGGAGGCGTTCACCTGGTTAGACAATATTCACGCAGCTTTCTGAAGCAGTTTGCATGCCAACAGCAAACACATGACACATTTTGCAAAGCTGATAAAGGGTTACTTTGTTTGTTTGTTTGTTGTAAGAAATAGTTGTTAGATCAGTTAAACAAAAGTACCCACCCGGATATTCTGGAAAACACTACAGTTTTGTCCATGACATCTTTAATCCAGATTCACTATCAAAACAGATTCTACAACACAACAGCTAATCTGGAGCCACGAGGATTAGGGAAGGTTACATTGTATGTAGACAGCTGTGAGAGTCATGTATACCTTCACCATTCCACCTCACTACCAGAAGAGTGCTGGTGAACGTTATGCAAAAGGTTATACAAGGATTTTTGCAACAGCACTGTAGACTAAATAAGTTTCTTTACCCCGCAGCAGAATTATATAACAACAACAAGGCTTAGTAAAAGTTCCTGGTTTTATTACCACTCTTTTATTCCCTATGCCTCCTGTGAAACTCCAGAGAGCCTGCACAATTGTAAGTCTTCCTTTAATGAGATACTACAGTTTTATATAAACTAAAACCAGTTTTCCAAAACTCCCTTTCTGTCAATTGCCAATGCGTCGACCTGAGGTTCAGCACATACTTTGATAACAGATTGCCTAAAGGTACATAGCTGCGGTACTTTCCATTCTCTTGCCATTGTCGTAATATCCTTGAACACGAGCTGTTACAACTCACAGGCTTATTCTTTCTGATAATAAAGTCAGTAGGTATTATAAATTTCTGGAGAGGGATGAGAAGAGGTGGAGAATCTGTTTCACACTCACTTTGTTTCTAACCGATATAGTGACTTCTTATGTTACATGAAAGATAAACCTTGCTTTCAATTTCTCCTGCTGTGCTTGTCACTTTTTAATTGGGTATGATCTGATAGAGTAATTCTCACTTTCACAGATCATTCCTGCCCCTACACGCAGTTTTACAGTGCCCTTGAAGCACATAGCTTAATAAATCAGCATTATTCAATGACAAAAAGTAATGGACAACAATGCACCACTAGTCAAAAGTAGGTCACTTAAAAGCTAACACTCATTTGGAAATCACCTCACATCACTAAATTGTACTCTCTCCTGCCAAATGTTTTAACTAAATTAGAAGAAATGCAAACTTAGCTTCTAGGAGAGAAAGCTACCCAGACTAGTTTTGTCTCCTTGCCTTCTTGTGCATGTAATTGAAAGAGCTGTGACCTGGAGATTTTCCTTGAAGGAAAATCCTGCTTAAAAATTCTATGGAAGTTACTCTCTTTGTAACAAATGGCAAACAGCATTGCAACAAGTACACAAATACTTTCGTGTTTCATATCATATATTTGAAATAGAAGACAAGCAACAAATTAGCAGGTTTTTTGTGCTAATTTAATGAATCTATTCAGCAACACTTCAAAGCAAGAACATGCAGACTGAAAGCTCTGCATGCTTTAAATCTCACTAAAGAAGTACTAGATGACAGACAAAAAATAATAATTTATGAGATTTTCTTCTGCATAAACATGCCAAATGGTTTATTTTTATATTTAAGTGAATTGGATTCATTTTTCCATCAGTTCTCTGAAGATTCACATGCTTAGCTCATATTGGCCTTGAGGGGAGTTATTAAAAAGTATAAATACCCATGGAAGATCAGACACCAGGCTGTTTGCTAAGATTAAAAATAGACTTTTCCTGTGAAGTCTTAACTGAAGAAAAGTGATTCAACATTTCTTTTATTTTATCATATAATCTTCTTCCTCCTTACTGCTCCAAACAAAGTCCAGTCTTACGATCAGTCTTAGTCAGATGGAGCTGAGAGTCACCCATGAACTTCTGTGTCCTCAAAATACAGTTAGATTCTTCAAAAAACTGGCACCCAACATCACAGCCATTTTAAGTGATAGCCTACAGGTCTGTAGTACTCCATCAGACAAGTGAATAGTCTGATACCTTGAGTAGCAGAGATAAATTTGCTTTTCATTCTAAAAGCCTTTTTTGGGGGGGTAAATGTTCATTTCACACAGTAAAGAATGATCCACGGCCTAAAATCAAAGGGTAGAGTAGCTGAAATGGCTGCTAACAGATTTGGACTCAGCACGAAGAGAACTGCCACTCATTACCTGCCTACACTACAAACCTCTAACCTATACAATTAGTCTCTGTCTTCCATAACCATTACATTCCTTTTCAAGAACTTTATTAGTTAAGTAAAACAAAATTCCTCCTAATTTCAGTGAGGTTTTGCCTGACTCAAGGATCTAGGGTGAGATTTGGCTCTTTTAAAGAGTGATATAAAAATAAATGCAACTGCATGGACATGGATGGACCTACACGTGTTAATCACAGAAGACAGACTTAGGTGTGAACAAGGCTGACAGATTTCTGTTTTTTAAATGTAGACATGATTATTAATGCTAAAATAAAAAGAAAGCAGCACATCTTTAGTTAAAAATATCTGATCTTCTCCATAGTGGAAGATGTGCTGTATTAAATGTGCGAAGTTATGGTCTGAAAAACAGTGGAAAGGCTTCAATATATTTAAAGGTTAACTTGAAAAGCCAGTCAAACTTCATGGATGACATCTCCACTCCTCAACTACATGCCGATATGATTTATCAAATCAAGGTAACATTAACAAGATTTCGGATGACAGAGAAATAAGGAATTTTGCATCTTCCAGACAGCAAGCGAAAAACCCAAAGAATAAGCTCTGAGTAAAGAACAACTGCCTCCTTCCAGTTCATTATTCCTGGGGAACTCAAGTAAAAAGAAGAGAAAAGGCTAGGATTAAAGAGAGGAAAATAGGTTGTTCAAGAAAGACATGCAAATACTCCAACAAAGATGACATTCTGGGTCAATTCAATCAACCAAATTCTTTTCTAGTTCACTAATTATCTTCCAATAATGAAGTAAATACTGCGATGTGTAGTTACAACCTGTCCCTTCCAGTGATTGTGCTTTCTTCTAAGGAATCCACTAATCCTTTAAGCATCATTATTGAGAAGTACAGAATTAGTCTATAGAAACTGGTGTTATCAGAGACGAGGAGGCCAAAATTTAGGAGACCTGTCAGTGGGTTGGCTATTCCATGAACAGAAAGACTATGGAAAGGTGAATGGTAAAAAAGAACATTGGTACCAAACATCTATGATATTAAAGCTCCACATTTCTTCTGCTGGGGCTGTACCATGTGAATGCAGCAGAGCCGCACTACGTAATGGCTGCTAGGTAGCCTGAATTCCTTTGGATGGAAGAGAGTCTGCAACAACTGCCGAGGTAGAGCTGGGTGCTTTGGTAACGTTGATTTTATCATAATCCCACAAGAGGACAGCGGGACTCTCAGGTATCTATTGTCGCATGCCACTCTGCCGCTCTTGCAACTCCCTGAGGGAGGCAGTATGTCTCATCTTGCCCATATGAAGATTTCTGCAACCAGCTTTAAGGTGCTTCTGCAGCCCTAGATAGACTACTGTCCCGACACAGTGGGGCAAATCA